CCCCAAAACCCCAAAACCCCAAAACCCCAAAACCCCATGAGATGAAAAATATGTAAATTTGAATAATATTTTAAAGTTAAATTATAAATAATTTAAAGAAACAATCAATATATATAAATGGTAGGTTTAACTTCTAAATAAAAAGAAGAGTTAAATCTCGCAATCCACGAATACTTGGTAAAGAATAAGTTCACGCAGTCAGCACAATTATTTGCTGATGAATCTTGCATCGACCTTGAAAATTCTCATAAAAGTAATGGAGGACTCTCTGCGCATGCATCAATTAAGGACGTGCTGGAGAAAAAATGGACTTCTGTAGCTAAGCTTAAAAAATAGGTCATGGAGCTGGAAAAACAGAATAAATAACTTAAAGAGTAATAAATTTGCGAGCGGTGTGGAGGGGGTTAAAACTTGCAATAAAATAGTGGAGGGCCAATGCAAGGCACAGCAGGGGATGGGTTGCCAAAGTAACCAGAGAAATATTCATTATTGGGTCATCGACAGCGAATTACTAAAGTGTAAATACATCCAACATATTCAATTGTCGCATCATCAAGTGAAGATGGATCCATTAAAATCTGGGATTACGAGTAAGGAGAATTAGAATAAACTATGAGAGGACATACAGGATGTGTGAACTATATAGCATTTCATCCAAATGGGAAATTTATAGCTTCATGTGCGACAGATTAAACTATAAAATTATGGGACTTGTAGACACACACTGTATATAAGACACTTTAGGGGCATGAGCATGAAGTCTCATGCGTAGATTACTTACCAGGTGGAGATCACATAGTGTCATGCTCAAGAGATAATACAATAAAAATCTGGGACTCTAGTAGTGGATTTTGCCAATAAACCATCCCAGCACATTCTGACTGGATCAGAAAAGTCGCAGTAAATATGAAAGGTTCTCTTTTAGCATCAGCTTCAAAAGATGAATCTATTATCGTTTGGAACCTGAATAGGCTGAAGGATGCTAAGAATTCAATTCAGCAATAGCAAGATTCTATCATTGCAGTTTTAAGAGAGCATGAAAATCAAATTGATTGTATCGTATGGGCTCCAACTGAGGCATGCCTTGTAATCGATAATGCTGACTACAATAAAAGTTTCATATTATCTTTGCAAAGCAGTCAAGCAGATGGTGGTGATTTATCGAATTCATTCCTCACGCCAAGTCAAGAAGTAGGATAGCCTAATACATAGGAGGAGAACAAAGAAGCTATGCCTAATGGAGGAAAGGAAGAAAAATTAACGGCAAAAGAAAAAGTTTAGCAATTAAAGGCAAAAATGTAAGCAAGGAAAAAAAAGGATGAGGGAGGAGCCCAATTTGAAGAGGAGAAAAAGTAGCCTCAAAATTAAGTAGTATTAAGCGATGATGTGCAGCGCGACTATCTAGCTTCTGCAGCCAGAGATAAAGTCATTAAGATCTGGGAAGTTAGAAATTGTCGTTGTGTTATTACATTAAGTGGCCATGATAATTGGGTAACAGATCTTGTTTTTCATCCAAATGGTAAATACCTCTTATCCTCGAGTGATGATAAAAGCATGAGGATATGGGACCTGAGTAATGGGCGTTGCTACAGGAAGCTAATAAATGCGCATGATCATTTTGTAAGTACTATAGATATGAAGGCGAAGGTTGTCGTCACTGGCAGTGTTGATAAGACACTCAAGGTGTGGACATGTCGCTGATGAATAAACACAATAATAAATATGTTGGTGTAGAAATTATCTTCATTAAGTCCTAATATTTTTCATTTCCCTCTTAGAATTTTCTCTACTTTCTCCTAAATTATACATCAAGGGGTTTTGGGGTTTTGGGGAGATCGGAAGAGCGTCG